ACCAGGACACACAGGAGCTTGTCTTTCAGATTGTCTCCAGCTTACAGTCTGGAGGTGTGCAACCTTTGTGATTGCTACCAGTCCTCATCACCCTTCTACGTGTTTCTGGAGAAAAAGAGGGATAAGATTCCTAGATTCAGAGATGAGGATCTCACAGGGAGGACAAGGAAGGCACCAATGAGAGTGGAGTAAGACCATTTCAGGGTGATCTCCTGCATTTCTTTCCTGGGATTGACAACATGCTTTCAGGTTTCAAACAAGCCCCTTACCCTGTTCTTGCTCTACACGTAACAATGCAACTGCTGTCAGTGGTTCAGGAAAAACAGGATCAGGAAACTGAGTCTACCTGTCAGTGGAAGATGGCTGTACAGCAACACAGGGCTTCCTCAGACACTGCAGAAGAGAAAGACAGCAGCAGGGAAGAGCCCCGAGGCTGCAGCAGTTTCTGGGGGACAGGGCAGGCACCAGAGGAACAGCTCCAAGAGCAGTAATGGTACTTTGTGCTTCACTTGATTTTTGGAGCACAACAGATCTCAAAGAGCCAAGGGCAATAGCTGAGATCCTGCCTGATTCACAGACCCCAAGGCAGCAGATTCCTCCTGAGCATGGGGCAGTAAAGCAGCTACAGGGCTGGAAAGAAAGCTCAGGTCACTCCTGCCACAGGCACCAAACCAACCCTGCATCTGGCTCTGTCCCTGGCTGAAAACTCCCCTCTCCCACACACCTTTCCACCAGCTCTGAAGAAAACAGACAGAGACTGTGCTGGTACTGGTGGGGGAGACATTTAAAGCTGAGCAGTGTGAACACCCCCAATGGCATTGCTCCATTCCAGCTAATTCTTCCAACTCACTGTTCAGGTTCCTCCCAGCTCCTCAGATTTACACCCGTTTGCTCATAAAGGGCCAAAATCCCTTATTGAAGCACCTTCCACTCCTCTGCATGCACCTGAGGTCACCTCATCCTCAGTGCAGGCTGAGCTAGTGCAGTGCTATCAGAAAATGAAGGCAACGTGTTGATGCCTGCACAGACTGCAGCTAAGAAGGACCTCCAGCACGTTAGGGCTTATTTTGGGAAGGGGGACAGAAAAGGGTGCTCTGCATTCTGTCCTCTTGCCCCAGCCCTGATTTAAAAAGCTCTCTTCAAGGCAGTGAAGTCACTTGCACACACACTCATCTTCCTCCACTCAAATATTAAGTTATAAATGAAGGCTTTCATGATCTCAGCCTCTTTTGGGTCCTAGCTACCTCACACCTGTAAAGAAGATAGGAGGCCAAGAACCTCCTGTGGCTCTTCCTTATTGCCATGGCCTAGTTAAGCCCCAGATTAGTCCAATGCTTTGACAATTAAGCTCCTAACTGGAGTCTGGGGGCTGTGGCAGCGTGGAAAAAGGCAGCTGCTGAATACAGCAATGAAAAAAAGATCCAAAGGGATGAGAAGCACCCAGGGGTGATACAGTCACCACCTGCCAGCAATATCAAAAAGTGAAAAAAACTAATTATATAAAGGAATTAGAATTAAAGTAGTCTGTGCCAGGGAGCAGGGAGATGGGCTACACTGGAGCTACCATCCCATCTGTCACCCCAGGGACCTCAGAGACACCCTGCTCTGCGAGCAGCACCCTGCAGCAGGAGAGCCCTGCCACACTCAGGAGCATCAGTCCACCTGCACTCTGGAAAACTCAGGTGACAGAGGAGCCCCTGGGGCTGGGCTGCAGCAGGCACCAGGGGTGCCAGGGAGCAGGGAGATGGGCTACACTGGAGCTACCATCCCATCTGTCACCCCAGGGACCTCAGAGACACCCTGCTCTGCGAGCAGCACCCTGCAGCAGGAGAGCCCTGCCACACTCAGGAGCATCAGTCCACCTGCACTCTGGAAAACTCAGGTGACAGAGGAGCCCCTGGGGCTGGGCTGCAGCAGGCACCAGGGGCTCCAGCAGGCACTGCAGCGTGGCCGTGCAGAGGTCCCTCCTGTCCCACGGCACAGCTCTGCTGGAAGCCAGGGCTCTGAGCAGCAGGGTGCTGAGGCTGGAAGGTGGGCAGGGCTGGAGGTGAGGAGCAGGAGTAGCTCTGGGTGGGGTAGGCACCTGGCGCAGGGTTAATCCTGGGCAGGAGGAAAAGAGAAGGTTACATCCTGTTCAGAACTGGCATTGCTTCATTAGGGCTGGGAGAGCCCCGGGGGCAGATTTCCTCCTGACCAGCGCTCAGAAAGCTCCTGTTGTGGTTTGAGGCTTGGAATGGGGGCGTGACCTTCCAGCAACTGGGAGGACCCCGGGTGGGGGTGAAACCATTGTATTCCCTCCCCTTCCCACACACGCTCTGATAAGAGGCAGGGAGTGGTTTTTTGTTTCGCTCCTGCCTTGGAGCTCGGAGAGGAAAGTTCTCCTTTCACTCTGTGGGACCCTGGAACCATTTCTGAGGGTTTTGTATATTTTATCTTTTGTATTATTCCCCTGGGCTTTATATATATTATTTTCCTTACCTCCCTTTTTTGTTTTCTGTTCCTTGTTGAACAATATACTTCATTTTTTTCTAAAAAGTGTCTCTCTCTCTCTCTCTCTCTCGAGGGGGTGGGGGAGAGGCGAGGACACAGTTCTGTTCCGTGTGGGTCCTGCCCTGAACCCCTTTTTACACGGAACCAGGACAGCTCCCTGCAATCCATCAGAGATTCACCTCAGCAAGAGAAGCTCTGAGGCTAAGCAGGGCTTGGGTGAAAGCAGGTTTACTGGCCTCCCAGCACAGAGCTGCCCACTCCCAACCCACTCCAGCTCCACACCCACAGCAAGCGTGGCCCTTGGCTGGGAGTCTCTCTCTGCAAGGAATCCACAAGTCAAACTGCAACGTGCTTGGAGATTTCTGTGAGCATCCTGCCCCCCTCCACCCCAGGACACCTCTGCTGAGGAGACTCTGCAGCCCCCGAGGGTGACCCAGATGCCACCAAGGCCTTTGGTGGGAGCAAGAGCCCAGGGCACAGAGCACAAAGGGAAGGAGGAGTTACAAATAAAACCAATCACTCAAAAGCAAGGTCTAGAAACGGCCTTTGCCAACAGGAGACTGCCTCTCTCTCTGTTTTGGTGGATGAGTCACATCTGCCAGGGAGCCAAAGCCTCTGGGGCTTCAGGAGTACTGCTCAGCCCACGCACAGCAGCAGAGTGCTGAGAACCAGCTCAGCATTCAGGAGGGCTGTGACTGCCAGATTCCCAGCCACAACGAGAGGCTGCCTCATGCTGCAGTTTTGGGGCTCAGATTTTTTTGTTTCATTTAGGGTGTGGGTTTGTTTTTGGGTTTTTTTTTGGGTTTTTTTATCACCTGTTAACAAAAGATGATGCCAAAATCTGGACTTTCTAGTGATGTCTCCTGTCTGGTGGCAAGATGCTTGAAGTCTTACAAAAATAATAAAAATAACACCTTACAAACTAAATCAGGAGTTCTTATTGGGGCAAATGAACCAAAATAATAAAAATTAATCTCCAAAAGAACACAGAGAACTTGTGTCTAAGACAGATGCAAGTTTAGCTGCAGAGATGGAGATGCTGGACTGATGCAGGAACTGGCTCAGCACACAGGCTTTAGTTTGGATATTAGGACAAACACCTTCACTGGAAGGGTTGTTAAGCAGTGGAACAGGCTGTCCAGGGAAGTGCTGGAGTCCCCATCCCTGGATGGGGTTAGAGGATGTGCAGGTGTGGTGCTGAGAGACATGAGTTACTGTCAGGTTAATGGTTGGACTCCATGATCTTAAATGTCTTTTCCAGCCAAAGGATTCTGTGTTTCCAAGGCTTTACAGTGAGCTGAGGGCTTAAACAGTACAGAGAACTTAACCCTTAACTGGGGATAGAAAACTCTACTGCCTCCGTGAAGCTGAAATGACATCTTAGAATAGGGAAAAATTTGACCTACATTTCCCACATTTTTTAGAATACAAGTGTTGGCTTGTCCTATATACAACCTTAAAACCATTCCTGAACATCAGCTGCAGGCCTCAAGGTTTCTTTTCAGTACAGGAACCTTGGCCTGACACTGAAAGCGTGCATCGAAAGCTCTGTGTTGAGCTCCCCAAGTGACATATTTAATTCATAATACCCTGCTCCTACACAGATTTGGACACAACTCACCTCACAGCATTCCTGGGAGTCTCAAGGTGTGGCAAAGAAAGATAAAGATCACACTCCAGGGAGCCATAAAGCCAGGAACAAATGCCACAAGTCCTATCGCTAGGGCAGGACCATGCAACTTCACTTTCATGGGATCCCTTCCCAGCCACACACCACGGGCCTTTCCCAATTAGCTTTCACCCCAAGACTTGGCTGAATTAATGTGTGACAACATGCTAGTCCCAGGAATGTCACCAGGGTAACAGCAAAGGGTTCTCCTGTTCCCCCAGGCACCCAGGACAGGAACACCAAGCACAGTACAGCTTTTAGAGGCGATTTAATGCCTCACTTCTGCCCCAAAATTCCCCTGTATCCTAAGAGCTTTTGCAGGAACTCCTGTACTTACTTGCTGCTCTCAAAGGCTCTTCTCTCTGCTGAGGAGGCTGGGATGTATTTCAGGCCTGGGATCCTCTTCAGCAGGCTGAAGGGGAACACCCCGTCCAGCTTTGAGGCCACTGACTCTGGAAGGTCCAAGCAGGAGCAGTAGCCAAGGCCATCTGAAGGCAGCAGGACGTTAAGGGGGGAGCTGGAGAGAAAACACACTCCCTCCTAACACAGCCCCCCACAAACCACTTCCCCAAGGGATTCACCCAGTGCCACCTTCACAGATCTTCTCAGCTCCACGTTCTGTGTGCACCGAAGCCTCGGAGGCGGTGGAAACGTGAGAGGAAAAATGCAGAGCTGGGGGTGAGGAGGGCCAGCAAAGCCCAGGGAACACCACAAAAGGGCAACAAGGACCATGACACGTCCCCCTGCTGTGCCCCCAGAAAGGATACAGGCCTGCCCAGCCAGCAGCCCACAGAGGGCACTCAGGGGAGAGCAGCCAGGGAGGCAGCACGCCGGGCCCAGCAGCAGCCAGGGCAGCAGCAGCACGGGAACCGGGACACCACAGAGCAGAGTCCTCCTCACCCCCGAGCGGGCGCTGGACGCCCCCAGCATCGCCAAGGCCACCGGCGTGAAGCCTCCGGGATCTTCCAGCCCCGCCCCCCGGGACAGCGCGGCCTCCAGAGGGAGGTAGAGGAGGGCGGAGAGCAGGGCGAAGGCGGCGGTGAGCAGGCAGTGCCTCGCCGTGCCCACGCTCCGCTCGAAGCTGCCCCCGAAGCACCAGATGACAGCGGCCCCCCAGGCCAAGGAGGGGAGGTCCTCGTAGACAAAGATGTGGGTGATGACCCTGTGGACTGAGCACAGCAGAGGCAGCAGTGGGTTTGTTTTCAGCCACTCCCAGGGACAGGGTTGGGCAGAGGGAGGGGGAGCTCACAGCCATAGTTCCTTCTCTTTCTATCCTGGTGTGGAAATGGGGTTAAAAACTGCTTAAAACCAGGCCTGAGTAACCACAGAGAGTTTAACCAAGTGCTGTCCTGGGTGTCCCAGACGTTCCACCCAACTCCTGCTGCTTCCCCAGGAGCTGCCTGGAGAAAAGCAGCAGTGGCTGGAGAGAATTTCAGTCTCATTGAAAAGAGAAGGCAAGAGATGTAAAAACTGCTGTTATGGTAATTATGATTTTGCCTAAAAGACACAGATTTCCTCCAACGCCTGTTAAAACAAACACCTGGAGGTTGTGGGACCCCAGAAGTGCTTCCAGGCCCTCTGGGAGGACTGAGGAAGGGTTCTCCACCTCCCTCCCACCAACCTCAGTCCTGCAAACAAAAAACCAGCAGTTGAGAGCATAACCTGGAACCTTCTGACTGTCCCTCTGGAGGTATGTGAGGTGGGGGAACTCTCCCACCAGCTCCAGAGCATTGGGCTGCTGAAAATAATCACCACACAGGGGTAAGTGGGAACATGAGAATGAAAAGTGTGATAAAAATTGTTCTAAGAACAACCCAGGGCCTGAGGAGAGTAAAACCCTCAAGCTCCTAGCAGCATAGCCTGGCTCTGCAGAGCATCAAAGACCAGATATATAATCACTAAGGTTGGAAAAGAGCTTTAAAATCAGTCCAACCATCAGCTCAACATTACCACGACCACTAAACCATGTCCCC